GGAACAATACAAGGAACGCAAGGTGCTTTTTTTTTTTTTTTTTTGTCGACTGGAACAAAAACCAGGGGTAGATCAATAAGCCATCAAAGGCATTGAGAAATGAGAGATGATAGAGTCTGAGCCAATAGAGAATGACATTCTGAAGACTTAGCAGCTAATTGGAAGGAGGAGAGATTTGATCATCTGTGTCTCTTTTCTTCAATCATCAGTTTGGCTAGGAGAACATTTACTTTGGAGTCTCATGTTGTTTTTCTCCCAGTACCGGGGTTTGAACTTAGGGCTTCATGCTTGCTCACTGGCACTGTATCACAGGCCCACTCCTCCAGTCTGGCCTGTTGCTGATTATTTTGGAGATGGAATCTCACAGGCTTTATAGCCTTGACTGGTCTTGAACTGTACCTCAGTCTCCTGAGTAGTTTGGATTACAAACACAAGTCACTGGCATCTGGCAGAAATATTGGAGGAAAAGAAAAAGTTGACAAATTTCTCTCTTCTGAGAATTTCCTTTTTGAAAAGCCTAGTTTATCTATTCAAGAAGAGGTGGTAACTTTGGCAGGGCTATCACCATTGGTGGTAACTTTTTATTCAAGTCAAGAACAATGGAACATGACATAATTCATACATACACAGGTTTTAAAATCAGACAGATTAATTTTAAAGCCTTAGATGATACTTTGGTAACAAAGTCATTGATATTAAACTCACGAAGCTATAATTGTTAAACAACCTTTTCAATAACACCCAGCAGAGTAAAAGATTGTGAGGGAGTAATAAAGTGATGAAGATACTTTTCATCCAGAACAATCCTCTCTGTTTTACAGAAGAAACTGAAAGAGATAAGTTATTTTTCCATTTTTAATTGCAAAATACAACTAACCAGTGCTAAAATCTTCACCTCCTCCCTAGAAGTAATGTTCTTATGTCCAGGTCCTTTACTCCAGTGATTCCATCCCTCTGAAAAACACTTAGAAACTAACAGCATACTTGCATTGTCTTTATCTAAACCTTTCTCTTCTGTTTGTACCAATGAAAAAGAAATACAATATGGGCTGGATGTGTGGCTCAAGTGGTAGAGCAGTTGCCTTGTAAGTATGAGGCCTAGAATTCACTCTCTAATCTTCCCTTTCTGTCCCTTTCTCCTCCCTCCAAAAGAAAACATAATGGAGCTCTCATTCTGAGCAATGGCACCTGTAGCCCAAATGACACAGTGGAATAGAGATGTTTGAAAACAGAACAGAGCACTAATCTGGCCTTGTTCTTGTTATTTGTTATTTGATGTACTTGAAGAAAGTGAAATGTCTCTAGCTGTGGGATAAATAAAATATAAATAAATAAATAACAAGAATGACTTAAGAAATAATTATAAATAAGATGATGGGTAGAACTATTTTTCATGTTAGTTGTATTTTCATGTCTTAGAAAAATGATAGATGTAAAAACTATGATATCTTGATTTCCATTCAGATGGAGATGTATCATTATTTGTGAGGTATGTCCACCATGGTTTTACTTTAAAACCACAAATAAAGTTTTAACAATGGACATTTTTCTTGTTGAGAGGTCTGTGGTTAGACTAAACATCTTTCTGAACTTGATTAGATCCTGAGGTTTTCAAATTCAATATTCAGCAAATATCGAACATCTCTTTGGCCATAAAAAATAATTAAGAATTTCAGAGTTAATGCAACTTTCCTGAGACTGCTTCCTTTTTTCTTGAGATATGACAATCAGACATAACTTCTCTAGTGTTGGGCCTTACCATTTTTGAGTATGAGACAGAAAAAAAATCACATACAATTTTTGGAAAATGGAGGTAATGCTGTTTTAGGTTTTTACATCAACAAGGCCTTCATTTGCTATCATTCAAGTTACAGAAATTTTTGTTATTAAATGCTTTCTTTTACTTTACTCTCAATTACTTTCAATCCAGAAAAGTAGACACATAGTCATTATGTGAAAACAAAGGAACATTGAATTGTTAATTATACAACAGCCAGAACTGTCTACTGTGTATTCATTCTTCTAACTGGAGAGTGGATAAACACATTCAGTTTGAAATCTTGTAAAATAGAAATAGGATTGTTTTAGTAGCTTAGTTTGCATAGCAACCTCATATTGCATGGAGATCTGACACAACATGATACAAGGTTCTAAATAAGGAGAAAGGAAATGTTCTATAAGTGATCCACATGCTACAATGCATTAAATAAAATTAAATCTACTTTTACTGTTTAAATGCAGTGTCACTATAATCCTATTGACTACATTTCCTTCCTTAGATCTGAAATCTCTTCCAATGATAGGATTAGAGTATAGTATGTAGAAAATGTTGAATTGTTTCTGTAGTATTTTCACTGCTGGAAGAGACCTCCAGGGGTCACGTAGTTCTTCCTGATCTCCAGCCAGGACGCTTCCTAATACTGAATATAGCTGTACAGTGATCTGCATTAAGAAAGCTTTTAAAGATCCCTGGGGTTGGTCAAAAATAGCTAATATTGGCCTGATTCATAGAACAGCATTATATGAATGTCAAAATAGCCACCTTCATCAAGGAAGATATCCATCCAACAGGGCTGTTAAGTGCTAGTATTAGTTTCAAAAGGAAAAGCTTCATTTTTTTTCTGAGAAAGGGTGGCAGGTAGATAAAGCAAATGACCAAGTGTGTTGGTATGTTGTTATTGTTGTTGTTGTTGTTGTTGTTTAGGTGAACATTTGAAAGCTTATCAAAAAGGAAATATTGTACTGTCAAAGATCACTCAAGGGGAAGGTAGAGGTGACTGAAAAGGAACAGATCTGACATCTTTTCAAATGGCTGCAGGGCTCAAAGTAGGAGAGAACTGTTGTTTTAAACAAGATCCCATTAGCATCACATTATTGAAGGAGCCATCATAAAACACAAGATAGTATTGACAGACCAACTTTTTAAAGTGATATCTTTTCCTTCTAATCAGCTTAGATTGTTAGAATTGATGGTTTTATTTCTTCAACTCCATTAAATTGTGCAAAAGAATTTAAGTGTAGTTGAAACTTCTATAATAACTAAGCTCATTGCTGCTTTACAGGAAAAGTGACCCTTCACTATTGTTTAGACTTCTAACTAGAAATTTCACTAAAACAAGAGCTCAGGTTTGTATCTGCTTTATTTGGGTTTTTGAGCTGGTCTGTTGAACTATGGAAAAAACTTAAAGATATAAGAATAAAGTGAAGAAAATTACTTGATAAAATATCTGAAGTATCACTTGATGTGTTTCATGTTGTACTTCTATCTGCAAGGTTTCACAGAGGCTAGTCAACTATGAATACCTTCAGGGATGTGAACTGGGGAGGTGAGTAGAAATAAGATTAGAAGCTTTAGTGGGACTTCTTTTTTTTTTCTAAAGTTACATAGTCTTATCTTTTAAATGCTGTATTTATACCTCTTTTAAGAAATTCATTTGAAAATATTTCATTTTTAAAAACAGAAAGTCACTCTGTGCTTCTCAGCCAGATGCTTAGACTAGGCTACAGGAAGTGGTGAATTCTAGCTACTGGCATCCTTGGCCTCTCCTGTCTCCTTTGTAATTCTTGATTTTGAAAATGGGAATTCAGCCAACTGAGGACTTCTGAGATGCAACTGTCTACTTTTTCGGGAACCCTAAACAAGACACAGTCTTCAGGTCACCTTTCCTCTTTTCTGAAGACAAACCACAAGAGAACTAACAAATTTACTTGAGTGTCCTCCTGGACACTGAAGGTTAATGTGTAGTCTACACACAAAACCAGGACACTTAAAGTTTTTCCTTCCCTACCTGTATATTTTTCAGGGTAACTTTCTCCTTAAATGGCATATAATCATCTCTAAGCCATGCCGAGGTGGCTCACACCTGTAATCCTACCTATTCAGGAGGCTGAGATCAGAGGATCACTGTTCAAAGCCAGCCTGAGCAGGAAAGTCCATGAGACTCTTATCTCCAGTAAACCACTAGGAAGTGGCGCTGTAGCTCAAGCGGTAAATCGCTCTCCTTGAGCTGAAGAGTGCAGGGACAGCGCCCAAGCCCAGAGTTAAGCCCCACGACCAACCTCCCCCCCCAAAAAAAAATCATCTCTAACTTTCTGTGTGCCTAAGACATCAATGTGCCCAAATTCCCATGGTAGAGTCAAGAAATTCCAAGTCAAAGAAACTGAATCAACTCTTTAAAAGAATCAAGATGAAAAGACTGTAAGGAAAACGAAGTATAATAAGTTGATTCTGTAACTTTTATTATAAAAAGAATTCAAGCTCTTGACATGCTATGTCTGACATTGAATGTCATTTAAGTTGACTGCAAGTAAATATTTCAAAAAAATATACATACTGTATATATTTACATTCAAGTTTGAGTAAGTGATGTCAAAGTATAGTTCAGGTTTTAATCTTTACCCACTAAGTAGATCTGTTCAACTACCAACTAAACAGAGATTGCATCTTCACTCAGGCACATGGAGAGGTAGAAACTGCTTTTCTAAAGAAAAACAAAACTGGAGTGCAAATGTGCAGCTAGATCATCACTGAAGCAGCTTAGCTACATCAAGGAGACCCTAACTAGCTTTGGTCATCTCAAGAAACTGAATATATGTAGCCTGTTCCTTAAATTAATAAACCCAGAAGAAATCAGGGCAGGTGTTAGTCTGATCACATCCTAGAGCGGACAGAACTGAACTGGCTTGCCACTCTGCACCCAAGAATTGCATATGACTTATGTTAGGCAACACAGTAGCACAGCTAGGCCAGCAACTGGACACCTTTTGCTTGATAAGACACAAATAATATGCAAACTAGTCGCTTAAGAGTTATCAAACATATTTGTATACACACAGCCTGGAACTCAGAAACCAATTAAGATATTTCTTTTCCAACGTAGAATCCCTACGAATTTCTGCCCAGGCCCACTTTCATCTCAAACAGTTCCTAAATCTGTATAGAGTGTAGGGTCGTCCTGTGATTTCTGCAGGCCAAAGTTCCTCTGTCTCAAAAGCGGACCTCACGAAGGTTCATGGGCCTGCGAAGGGCTCCCCGGGTTCCTGCCAGACTGGGCAGGGCTCATTCCTGAGAGGGGAAGTTGGAGAGAGGCCACAGAGGTGGCTGTGGCCAGAAGACCTTCTCGTTCCCTTTTCTTCTGTTTCATCCTGCGATTTTGGAACCAGATTTTGACTTGAGTGTCATTTAGCTGCAAGCAGTTGGCTATCTCGATGCGCCGGGCTCGAGTTAAGTACTTATTGAAATGAAACTCTTTCTCTAGTTCTGTCAGTTGCTTGGTGCTGAAATTCGTACGGATGGCGCTGGAGGGGCTAGCGGCTCCACACTCGGCGAGTTTGCCTGTAATGCAAGAATAAGTCATCAGCCAGGGTGGGGAATGGGGGGGGGGGACCTAGATATGGAGACAGACTATGAGCCAGCAGTGGGACGAAAGAGTCAGAGCCAGTCACAACGCAGCCCTCCCGGGTTTCTTTGGACACCACTGAACCAGAAGAAAGACACCACCGAGCGTTTCTTCCTCTACTTTTCCCAAAACCTGACATTGTTTCCTAGCCTGGTCTTGGAAGATGTTTAATGGAACTGGCCTGCCTTTCTAAGGCCTCTGGACGCGCTCAAACCTCCGTCTGAAGCTACAGCGGCGACTCAATCCCAGCGCAGTCCCGCCGAGAGGGCTACTACTCCAGGTCTGGATACCTCCACCCCACGCCCCAGTACTTACTCTTCTTAGGGGCGTTCCTCTTCACTTTCATCCATTCGAACGTGCTGAAGGCAGTGGGGAGGCCGGACGTGGGAGAGACGGACTTGGGATAGGTGCCGGGGGACGGCGATGCAGTCTGGAAGGCCCCGGGGTGGCCATCGGCTGGCTCTTTGAGACATGCCGGAAAGGGACCAGGCTCTCCGAAGGCTGCGTAATCCACCTGGCCACTCAGCAGGAAGGAGCCGCCGCTGGAGAAGACAGCGGAGGTGGCATAGTGGACGTGCGCCCCGCTGTCCTCGGTCGGTCTCCCGAGCGCACCCGGAAAGTCATACACCGACCCAGACCCCAGGAAGCCATAGTCCGCGCCCCCCGCCGCCGCCGCGGCAGGTGCGGCGCCCCGATCGTAGGCCCCTTCCAGGGTGCACGCTGCGTACCGGGGCGCGGCCGGGGGCGGTGCGGAGGGCTGCGAGGGAGCGGGTGGGGACGGAGGCGCGGGGCGGGCGGTGGTCAGAGGCAGACAGCTGACGAAGGCGCCGCCGTCGCCGCCGCCCAGGGGGAAGGCGGGTTGCAGGGCCACGGGTCGGGCGTCGGCGCGACAGAACTTGGGTGCGAAGCTGAGCACCTCGCCTCCGACCCCGCCGCCGCCGCCGCACGACACGTACTCCAGGTAGGAACTCATTGCTCTAGCCACTGTCCTGAGGGCGCAGGCTAGGGCTGGGGTGCGGAACCCCACCGGGGCCGGGCCGGACCGTCACCGTCCGCCCCGACTCCTCCGCCTTTCCTCGCTACCCCAGCTGCCCTCACCGAGCCACGGCGAGCGGAACGGGAGGTAAATAGTGGCCTAATATATCGGCGGGGAGGGCCACGTGGCGCCGTCCAGCCAATCGGCGCCTTCACCGCACCTCCAGGGTGCGGACTTCTTGGCTCCGCAGCCCCACAGCCAACTTAGCCAAACCTGCCAGGGGGCCGCTGCCCAAGGCCCCACCCCCCATCCCATCCTCCATTCCCCAGCCCTGGGGAAAAAGCAGGAGTCCAGCTCCTGGGTCAGGTATTGGCGAGTGTGGGGAGAAAAGCAGGCTAAGCGCCAAGGGAGGGAGCTTGCTCCAGTGCATCGTCGGGTGACTCCTGGGGTGTGGATTGGTTGTAGGCGCCACCGCCTGCAAAGGGTTAAAGGAGATCCGCTTGTGGGCGCCCGGCTTGTGGGCACTGCTCCCAGCCTTTCTCCTAGCAAAGTAAAGTTATTCCATTCTGCTTTTTTTTTTTCTTTTGGAGTCCTGGACGCTTTGTTTTCTAGGCACTGCCCCTAAACTTGGAGCAGATCTTTGAATTCCCCGGTTTTCTGACTTCCCGACGACTCTAGAGACCTTTTCTGTGATAGCTGTAAGTGCTTGTGCACATCTTCACTTCGTGACTACCGAGTGACCGAGCAGCATTCCCTTTAGCTTGCTCTGCTCCTTCCAATTGTTGGCAGCGGGATGGGGGCGACTGCGGCCCGTGCCAGGTTTGCAGTTGAACAGAAAATAAAGTTTGTCGCTTGTAGGGAAGTCTCGCAAATTTCCTCTTCGGAGTAGGTGGTTAGCATAAAGAATCCACACTTGGATGTTTTACCTGAGACTTTCGGCTCTAGGACGCAAAGGCTTCCCTGGGCTGCCCCCCCTCCCCCCGCCCCGCAGATCTCTGAGGCTTGGACAGGCTGGTACCTTGAAGCAATTAAAGCTTCTGTTGCATCAGATAAGTGCTGCGTTGTCTCTAGCGAGTGAAATCTGAGGGCTCACAATGTTAATGGGCTCACGTCTTTCCCTTGATAATACGGTTTTGTTTACTGAGTGTACAGAGACGGGAAATAAAAGTGCAACTGGCGCAGGAAACGAAAAGTAGAAGGGTTACAAAGACATGCTTTACATTGACAAACTATCTAACTTCCTCGAGCATTTCTTTTAATGTTTTCCTCTTTTTGACTGAAGGAAAATACCATGCTAAAGACGTTGAAGTTATTTACACACAGCTGTCATGAAAGGGGGTGGTTTCTTAAAACCTTGTATGAATGAAGAATCTAAAAAGTCTAGTCTTAGTTTATTCAAGTACCCTTGAACACTGGATCTATTACAGCCTCTGAGTTATGGTAAGCAAGGTTTTATTATTATTTTACTGATCTACTTGTCCTGAAATTCTTGGCCCTTGCCTAGAATTCCACTGTGAGAATAGGGGCCATCACAGTCAGGCAGCCAGTTCCCCACAGGGATGCAGACTTGAGAATAGACAAAGCCACACCAAAATTGTAGACTGATGCTAAAGGGGTAAAGGGACTAGGCGTGCCTAGGAGACCCACAAAGCTCCAGCTGCCCGGAATTTCTACACCATTCTTGAAACTGAGTGGGAAGTAGAATCCAGTGCTGATCTTAGCCCTTCAACCTTGAACCAGGCACCTTATATTTCTCTGAATAAACATTTGGACATTTAGCTTTCACTGAGCGCAGATGTATTAAAAGATAAGTCTTTATTTTTTAAATTATTTTCACAGCTGTGGTGAAAGTTGGGGTCAGAAGTGAGGGTTACAGCAGTTGGGGTGGTATTCACTGTTCCCTGATAATCATACAAACAACTGCATCCTGTTCATCCTTCTCTTTACTCCATTTAATATCTGAGTCCTTGGCACGTCTCATACCTCCAGACTCAGAATTGCCATCTCTACCTGTGATTTATTTCTTTTCTGTTTGTTCTGCTGTACCACTGAGCTACATCCCAACCCCTACTGCAAAACAATTTTCATCTATAATCACTTGAGAGATTGGGAGATATTATGAAGGGAAATGTATAGAAATATGGAGTCAAGAATATTCTAGTCACCATGAAGTTTGTCTGAAATGTTCAGGGGCATGAGAGAAATGTCTTAGCTTTGTTACTTGTGCAAGCCATTGATTCCCAAAGAACACTTGCCCTTCTGCAAGTACTCTCCATCAGGATCCTGTGAGTTCACTTGGTAGGGGGGAGGGGACAGGGAGAGGCAGTGACAGTCTAGGATCTAATTGCCAGGTTGTGTTTAATGCAGGAATGCTTTTGAAATCTCCAATCCTGCTCATCACATCAACTGCCCCTACTTATTGCCACCCTCCTTCATGATCATTCTCTGCTTATTCTGTAAGTTTCTTATCTCTGCAATTTCTTTTCTCCAGACCAAAGTGCTAGAGAATGGTCGTCTAGTCTTCTATGTGTTTAAAGTCAGTAACCCCCTTCCCCAAACCCTACTGTGCTACCCCTGGAGATACCTGAGCACATTCAGGCTTGGCTCCATAAGCCTGCAGCAGAAAAGGTGTTTTGCCTGTTGGAGTAAATAAGGGATGGGAGGGTATCTTATGTCAGATTAAGGTAAAATGAAACTCTGCTGCAGTTCTCTGTAGCATCTTCAGTCTTCTGAGGATAAAGGGATCCTGAGGTCAGGAATCCCAAACCTCTTAAAAATCAGACAGCATGGCCCTTCCTGAGGAAAGCAGTTCAGAGTTCTGTGTCCTTCCCAGAGAGTTTTGTGGATGAGACTTATCTGGTAAGCATGCAATAAATTTTTGAGGGGATGGGCAGAGCATCATTCTCCACTATGACTAATGGTGGCTTAAGGATATCCTTATATTATTGACTCCTCAAAATACTTTGTATTAAATCACCATAGAAGCTTGTTTAAAAGTGCAGATTCCTTGGCCCAGTCCCAAAGATTTTAATCTAATAGGTCTGACTCAGGAGTCTTTATTTTTAAGAAGTCTCGTGGGTGAGCTTACAGCAAGGTTCTTCAGAACCACACTTTAAATTTCTCTCCTTTGGGATTAGTATAGGGGGGAATATGAGAAGGAGGGAGATGTTTCTGTGGGAAGGATTGTGAACAACATGAAAGGTCATAGCTAGCAGGTGCTTGAGTATAACTGTAAAGTAAACCAACATCTATTGAGTGGCAGGGCCAAGAGGTCAATGTCAAGTTCAAACCTGAGTCTAAATGGGATATGGTTCTAAAATAGAGTACCCTAAAGAAGTGGTTATTAGCTGTTTCCTTTTTTTTTTTTTTGCTAGCCAATTAGTGCTTCACTGAGTTTATTTCTGCTTCTTGACACCTCCCCAGCTTAGCTTTGGTAATGCCAGAGATTAAGATTGGTCTCAGCCAGGCGCTGGTGGCTCACGCCTGTAATCCTAGCTACTCAGGAGGCTGAGATCTGAGGATCGCGGTTCAAAGCCAGCCTGGGCAGGAGAGACCGTGAGACTCCTGTCTCCAATACACCACCAGAAAACTGGAAGTGGCGCTGTAGCTCAAGTGGTAGAGCACTCGCCTTGAGCTGAAGAGCTGAGGGACAGTGCCCAGGCCCAGAGTTCAAGCCTCACGACCGACAAAAAAAAAAAAAGATTGGTCTCTTCCAGTAGAAAGAGGGGAGTAGTAGGAATGGGGTCTTCAACTCTCATTTCCTCCTATCTGTCATTCAGCTCTCATTTTTTTCTATTTCTCACAAATTATCTTATATTTGAGTCCCATAGATCTACAGGGGATGAAAAGACTCTTGATCTATGACTCTGGCTAATGGCTGGCCTTTCATAGTCTAAGATAGCAAAGTTAGAATGCATCTTAGAAATAAACTGCATCCAATTTTTAAGGAGGAAATAATGGTACTCAGAAGTTTAAAGGCAATGCCTTCCTGCCAAAAATGATGGAGCTTTGACTCCACTATCCATTGCCTTTCCTCAGTCTTCAAGAAGAAAAGAAGTCAGGTAGTCACTTCTCTGCACTGTTCTCTGCAGTCTTGTTCCTAAGCAAAGTAGAGTAGCTGTCTTTTCTGGGGGACTGTAGTCAGTGGGTCTAAAGAAAAGACCCGAGTGGTATTTGTTTGCTAAATCCCATATCCTAGTCTTGTGTAGTCCAACCTCAAGGCTCCTGTGTCCTGGGCAGAGGTACAAGATTCCCTCCTGTCTCATTGAGGTTGACCACCAAAGCCTTGGAGAGACAGAACAAGAGGTCCTTCAAGATTGATTTCACTGCCTAGAGTACAAAAGGCCTACCTAGGTCAGTTCCACTTGCATTAATTTGGTCTCTTTACTTTAAAAATAGGTAATAAATTTACATTGGCCTTGTTCAAGATTCAAAGGGGGTATTCAGTGAATACCTTTGTATACAATCATGTAGTTTCCCTTCACATACACAACCACTTGAATAGTTTGTGTGTAACTTTTTAGAGATGCTTTATATCTGAGTAAATCAAATCTCCCCACAATTTTAACACAAAATGATAGCATCCTAGACAGACTCCATGGTACCACACTGTTTTCCTTGTTGTACCTTGAAGATCATCCCATAGGAATACAAATAAAACTCCTTTTACAACTCCGTCCTATTCTACTAGTGGTAGAATTGGGGAATACACCTACTAAAATTTACTTAGCTAGTCCCTATTGACAGACATATTACTTGTTTTCAATCTCCTGCTATTATAAACCCACATTCAAATTCTTACCTATTAGACAATTCCTGGAGGTAAAATTACTGAAGTAAATGTTTTTGTGAACTGACAACTTTACTTTTTGCTAAACTACTACAAAGGTGAATCAAAGTAGCTAAGCATGGTGACATATGCCTGTAATCCTAGCACTGAAGAGACCAAGGCAAGAATATCTTGAGTTCAAAGCCATTCAAAGCCAGTTTGATCTACA